GGAGGGGACAGCTTTGTTGTCACATGTTTCTAACCAAATTCTCACTTCTTACAGTACAGTACCTTGCGGATTACCCCCTCTACAAGGTTTCCCCTCTGTAACATTCTCTGTAACAGAGAAATTTTTTTTCTTGGAAAGTTGTTGTTTCATGCTGTTCCCATAGGGCAAACTTTAACTTTGGATCAGGTTGATGTTGGCCATGCTTGGGCTACATGGCAAGTGTGTAGGCCCTCTGGCCACTTGTGAAGACAGAACTTGCTCCAGCTCAACACAGCCTGAGCAAGGGACAACAGCACTGCAGGGATGACCTGACCTCTTACACTGCAAATTCAGTTCAGTCCTTCAGTGTATGGATGGGGTGACCGTAGGCCTTGGCAAGGCTAGGACGTATGCCTCTTTTGAAACTCTGATCAAGCAATTTTTGTTCTTGCTTCCGATGTTTTAAAATCAGGGATAGAGAAACAGTTGAGGTCACTAGACATTAGACATTCTTGAGATGTCTCAAGCACCAAATAAAAAAACAAACTCATCCGTGCTCTCCCTTTTGGGAGAAGGGAGTAAAAGAAAAGCCTCCAGCATCATTCACATCCCAAGTTACCCTTGTGTAAAGTCACTGTAGTCTTTAATTTACTTTTCTAAGTCGCCTTTCAGACAATGGGTTTTTATTGATGGTTGAGAATACTTCTGCTGGGTCGTTTCCCAAGCCCTGTTAGATAAATACTGTAGGAGAATGACAGTCTTCATAGCTCGAGAGATTTGGAAAGCAGCCTTCCAGAAAACTTCACTCCCCAGAGAGGCTGATGCTGAAAGAGGCACAGCATGAAAGTGAAAATTTTCCATATGGCTGGTACATATATGTAGGTGCCATATAGACACTTCATGCTTGCTCGTTTGCATCTACTTCCTCATATCTAACTTGCAAAGAAAAGCCTTCTGCTCCTCAAATCATAATCATTTCCCCCCATTACCCAGCCAGATGGATCAATTTTCACCTAGGGACCGTTTTTTATCTTCGGCTGTGAAGTTCACTGCCCCGGCCACGCTGCCAGGACTGGTTTGCCACCTTGCAGACTCTTCAGTTTTAGCACTGGAGTTTCAAGAGCGGCCCCCTTCTTTCCCACCTTCCTTGCTGCTTTATTTAACATTACCCTCACTGCAGAAACGAGAGAGGAAAATAACTGCTGCTCCTAAGTACAACAGTATGGCACACACCCAGAGGAACACAAGTGGCTCAGGATCACCGCGGAAGCCTGAAGTGCCATTTGTGTGGAAGAACCCAGGGAAATCAGAAGCCTTTGTGCTTGGTGAAGGAATGTCACGTTTCCCGTAATTACATTGCACAGCAGCTCCCTCCCTGCTAATGTGCTGCCATTAAAGAGAGTGCTAAGAGCGGCATGTGATGCCCAGGATAACGAGCAGCCCATGTATCAAGTGGAAGGGGTAATATATCAACAGCCACCACTTGATCACTCAGCAGATAAGCAAGCAAAGCTACTTAGGGTGAAAAAGCATCCCCAAGCAAGCAGATTTCTAGATCTATCTCAGACTTTGCCTGGCAGGTCAGGAGAAGAGAGACTAGGTACTCATTTATATGCAG